TACTCTGGCAAGCAGATCCACAAGACATTTAATAGAAGTTCCCCAGGGACATCTTGCTTTCAAGCAGGACACAGGGAAACCCTGCTCCCCTTTCTCTTTCTCCCAGTAGCAGCAGTTCCTTTCAAAGCAAGAACCAGGTAAATGCCCTGCACTGTGCAGGTGTCCCGTGGCATCTGGCAGTTTCTATTCCTCTTCTAGTCGAGGTACGAGAGAAAAGTTCCAGCTGTCTTCTGTGCAAGAACAGAACACAGGACAAACTTTCTGATCTCTCTGTACGTATCTTTCAGGAATGTATCCCAATACCCATGTTCTGGGCAACAGTAATTTCACCCCAAAATTGATTTTATGAAGGTATTTTCACTAAAGTTAGGTAGAAAAATGATTGAAAAAGCTCACCGCAAAACTGGTGTTTGTAAAAGAGACCTCCCATTCCTAACATAGCATCTTCTGCCAGATACTGTAATTAAGTCATACTTCCATGGCTGGTTTACTTTTCTTGTCATGGAAATAATTATGTCATAACTACCTGGGGTCAGACTATCCAAAAAACACCCACTGGAACTGGGAGCACAACTCAGACAAAACAGAAACGACACGTGTCCTCTATTTTCAAGCAAATGCAATGGCTCCCAAATCCAGGGCACAGTGCTCAGAAAGCCAAGTGACTTGGAGGTGGCACGAATATCAAATAAATTATTAGATTCATACTTGAGGTGCAACTATCTTTTTAATGTAGTAATCCCTGCCTTAGCCTAAACCTGATTATATTGTTTCTCTACGTGTTACAAGCTTGTCCTGCTTTGATGTACCCAGAAATAATCTTAAAAGCAAGCGGGCCTCAGGTAACATGACACATTCAGCCAACTGGCAAACTGCAACACATTGCAAAAGCAGAGCAGCCGCCCAGCTGTGCCTGTACCCGGGATAAGCCAACAAAAGAGCACAAACACACAGGCGGAGGGATGCCCGGCTGTCATTTCAGGCACGCCATAACCCACGGAAAGAACCTCTCGCTTTGGCAAGGAACGGCGGCTGGGGGCACGGCTCGCAGGCACGGCCCGGGACAGGGGGCCATTTCCCCGGGGG